ATTTTTAATTTTTTTAAATAACATTTTATTAGTTTTATTTTAACCCTAAATAAAAATAGAAAAGTTTATAGAATTAAGAAATATTACTATTGAAATATATAACTGTCAAAACCGTTTTTAAGTAAAATAATATACACTTTTAATATAAAAATATTATAAACATTTATTTTGATTAATAATGCAGCCATATTTTCAAGTGTTGTTAGCGCTCACATAAAATGGTTTATACTGAGGTGTATAATGAGGGGAAACGAGGTCAGTCTTCTCTCTGTCTTTAGGGAAAGATGTGATGTTGTATGTGGCGGAGATGATCCCGAAACTGAAGAGCAGAACGCAGAAGAGCGGCGGAGCCGAGGCCGGATCACAGCAGGGAGAAGGAGGGAAGAAAGGGAAGAAGAAGAAGAAGTAGACGACTGGAGATCATCTGTTTTGGTTCCTCTTTGACTTTTTGCTGGACTCCAGATGTTTGAGCGTCTGCATGTTTTCATTATAAACACTCACTTTCATTTGAGCGCCGCGCCGTTCTTTAGTTTTTAATATTTGTCTTAAGTCGCTGGGGTATATTTGTAGCAATAACCAACGATACATTGTATGGGTCAAAATTATAGATTTTTCTTTTATGCTAAAAATCATTAGGATATTAAGTAAAGATCATGTTCCATGAAGATATTTTGTAAATTGTGTGAGAGAGTGTGTGTGTGTGTGAGAGTATTTAATAAATAATAAAGTAATAAATCTCAGCCAAATATTGTCCTATCCTAACAAACCAAACATCAATGGAAAGATTATTTATTCAGATGATGTATAAATCTCAATTTAAATAAATTGACCCTTTATGACTGGTTTTGTGCTCCAGGGTCACGTATGTGATGACCTCTTGACACCTTCAACAGCGAGACAGAGGTGTTTCTGTTACTTACTGATGATGGATTGTGTTTAAACAAGCGCTGACAGAGCTGGAAATACACCGGCGGCTCGTATAACGGCATCTTTCGACACGTCTGTCTGTGGGTTTTTCTAGGTGTGTTTGTCCCGGCGCGGAGGATCAGTGTTTTGACACGGCTGTGAGATGCCAGCGCTCGTGTCCTTCAGCGCACCTGTTCACGTCTCCCCTCGCACGAATATTTCCGTCTGTCTGAATGAGTGAAATAAAGAGAATCGAGCAGCAGTCAGTGACACGTGTGTTTATTGAGCTCGACTCATCTGTGGGTCGCACACGTATGTGCCGTTAGTTCGCCGCTGGATTTCCCCCGCGATTGTCGCCAAAATTCTTCAGATGTTTGGTCCGGTTCTCCATCCTTGTGAGCCACTCGTCACGCAGCCTGAAATCAGAGTTCAACACCAAGTTTTCAAAAAGTCTCTTCTGCTCATCAGAGCTGCATTCATTTGATTAAAAATACAGTAAAAATTGTAAATATTTTTATAATTTAGAATAACTGTTTTCTGTGTGAATCTCTGTTAAACTGTAATTTATTTCTGTGATGTGCAGCTGTATTTCCAGCATCATTACTGCAGTCTTCAGTGTAACATGATCTTCAGAAATCATTCTAATATTATGCTCGAGAAACATTTCTGATTATTATCAATGTTGAAAACATTAATATTTGTGTGCAAACTGATACATTGTATTTTTCAGGATTCACAGATGAACAAAGTTCAAAGGAACAGCATTTATTTGAAACAAATCTTTTGTAACATTGTCTTTACTGTCACTTTTGATCATACGTACACAAAAACTACATATGTATAAAATAAACATACAAGTATATGTAAAGTGCAGGGTATTATATAATGTTTTAATTAATGGCTGATGCTACATGCGAGATCAAAAAGTAGCTTTAATAATTCTCTGAATTCACTGTAACATAAGTATAATTGACTGTACATGAGTATTTGCACACATGCCACCGTCTCAATATGGATTATTGAATTTGAGGGCCGTTACTCTGATAATCTTCTGTTCTCAGCAGGACGCAGATATTAAATATCAGCTCAGAGAACAGCACAGCCGCTTGACTGTGCATAATAATAAAAATATGTGACCCTGGAGCACAAAAGCAGTCTTAAGTGTCAATTTTTCGAAATTGAGATGTATGCATCATATGAAAGAAGCTGAATAAATAAGCTTTCTATTGATGTATGGTTTGTTAGGATAGGAAAATCTGGAATCTGAGGGTGCAAAAAAATCAAAATATTGAGAAAATCATCTTTAAAGTTGTCCAAATTAAGTTCTTAGCAATGCATATTACTAATCAAAAATTAAGTTTTGATATATTTACAGTAGGAGATTTACAAAATATCTTCATGGAACATGATCTTTACTTAATATCCTAATGATTTTTGGCATAAAAGAAAAATGGATAATTTTGACCCATACAATGTATTGTTGGCTATTGCTACAAATATACCCCAGCGACTTAACACTGCTTTTGTGCTGCAGGGTCACATATAGGGTGTGTGGAGTGTATTTCTTACTTGCAATTATATTATATTATCCAGCACTTTAACATGTGCAGTATATTAAGAAAACGGTAAAATATCACTTCTAATTGTTCTCTTATAAATGCAAAAAGCAATACTCTCTTATGGTGATGCAGCTGATTTCCGAGACTTACTTTATGAGAGAGCTCCTCTTCATCCTCTCTTCTTCAGCTTCTATCGTGTGATTGTGATTGTTGATCTTCTGCTCCCAGAATGACTTGATGAAGAGTTTGTCGTGAATGAGAGCAGAACTCATCTCCTGTGAAGCGAAGGAACAGACGAATCAAACACATGTTCATCAGAGATCCACACAAGCATATATATATTCACCTGGTTGTGTGAGGTAACGGTCAGAGTGATCTTCATCGTCCAGATGGTCAGTGACTGTCTGCCTGGCCTTTATTTCAGTGTGACTGGAGTGTCATCAGCACCTCTAATGATGTTTCTGAGCTCCTCCTCGGGTTTATTTCAGAAGTGACTCTTCTCCTTTCAGTGTCTTTTTCTGTCGGGATGGGCGGCACACATTCACTCCAAGCACTATCTCTCCTCACTCGCTGCTGGAAGCTTCCTCAGAATTCTGCTTTTGTTTTCCAGTACAAATATCTAAAGAGCTTTTGCTTAAAATGAGGAAAATATCTACTAATGTGGTCAGAATTATAATCTTTTTTCCCCTTTGAATTAGTTGAATTTTTCTGACCCCACTGGCAGATATTTGTTCTTGTTTTAGGCGAAAACTCACTTCATTTTGGTACGTTTTTCAGATCTTCCTACCAATTCAGGTTATAAAAACATTGTGGGAACATTATTTATAGAACGTTGAAAGGTCTAGTTAGATAACATTAGCACAAAAAAATACAATGTTACAATTACAATGTTACAATTACAATGTTACAATTACACTGTTACAGTTACAATTACACTGTTACAATTACAATGTTATACTAATATTTTTTTCACCCAAAATATAACATTTGAACCTTTTTTTTTAAATATTCGGTAACACTTTACAATAAGGTTCCATTAGTTA